TGCCTGGCTCCCACCTGACACTGATGCAGTTGTAGGAAATGTGGCACAGATCTTAGATTTTTTTAATAACTTCTCTGTTGAGTCTAATATATAACAAAATTTGGGAACTACAGATCTAGGACCTATCGTGTCTTCTCTTAAACCTATGAGACAAATAGTATTGTCATCAAAAAATTAATCATACATTCTATTTGATGCAGTCAGAATCACCTAGAAAACAGAAAAAATATCGGTGTCTAGGCTCTACTTCCAGAGAGTCTAATTTAATTAGTCTTATACACAGCAGGTCACAGTTAACTTCAGAGATTCTTCTGTGTAGTCAATGTCTTGAAAACCAATGAGTTGAATGCTCCACATGTCCTCATGGAATTAGTCAGTGTATCTACCCGCAATTCCCTACCTCATCGCTCTCCCACCCTCAAACACTCAATGCCTTTCTTCACAGCCTGTTTGGATGAATTCAGTTCCAGGTAACTGCAATGGTGGTTCTTCTACTCCTATCCTCCTTTCTCTTCTCCTCTTCCTCCTTCTCTTCTGATTTCCCCCTACCCCTACTTCTCCTCATTCTCCTACTTCTGCTTCCTCCTGGCTCCACAAAGATTCACAATGCATTGTTCTTTCATATCGTGAAACTGAGCTCTGCGGTATCTTATCTATGCATCACTCCTCAGTCAAGGAGCACTGAAAACACTTGGAAGCATTGTGCAGGCCATTGCTAACTGGGAATTGAATGATGAGTCATGTGCTATCAAGGACTTGACATCTAATTGCTTGGAAATGGAGGTTTGTTTTCTTTTCATGTTTTGGTGGAATGTATTTAACTGAGTCAAGAAAATAGGCAATGTGGGAAGGAGAATCCAGCTTTCTTTCGGTGAGATGTGTGAGTTTTTGTTTTGGCATAGCCTTCAGCTCTAATATCCTTATGCTACTTCTGATGCTTTATTACCTCAGTGATTGACAACTCTACTTATGCAACTTTGGACCAGAGATAGGGAAAGCAAGGTAAGGTAACTTCATGAAAGCTGGTGTCTGTGAAGGAGCTTCCTTCCCTCATCCCCTCCATTCCTCACTGTCTCCCTTATTCCCTTTCTCCTTTTCACGCACTCTCCTCCTACTCCCTCCCTCCATACCCATCCCGAAGGAAATTGAAAATTTTAGCTATTCACTTGTGGTAGTGTCTTATCATTTCTACTTCCTACAAAACCATAATGCCTTCTTCATATTGTGACTGACGATATTCCTCACTCAATTACTGACAATGTAATTGTTTTTTCATAATTTGATTTTTTATTCTTTTGTAACTGAAACATATTTAATAGCAGCACTTGCTCATGTCAAAAAAATGATATGTTTTATCATGTTGAGCCTCAATATATTATATAGGTTGTATATTTTAGTACTATTAAAATATTTACTACTATTTTATTTATTTACGTTTAGACATTTTTTGCTAGAGGGTGTGTGTACTTGCTGGAGAGATAGAGAGAAACAGAGAGACAGAAAGCAAGGAATCATCCCCCCAGGAGGGATGATTGGCCACACCACAATCCCTTCTCTTCCATCCTTATCTTGGAATTTTGGGCACGCATGCAGACATGCCCAGCCTGAGTGTCCACCAGTGGGGTCTGTACTTGAACCACAGTAGACTCTGTGGAAGACCAGCACCTTAACTACTGTGCCACTTGCTGGCCCCTATTTTTATAACTGTTTATTTACAGATAGTAAATATGCATTATATTCATAAAGTATTTTTATGCTACTTTGTAATAGTTTTTAATGCTTAATAAAATAACCATTATGTTATCATCATGCATCTTCCCTTCATAGTATTTTAAAAAATTATTTCCCCTTCACGAACTATTCAATGATTTTCTTCACTGAAATTCCATCTAAACACATATAATAGGCTCTTATATGTGTTTATTATGTAGATATGCATTATATTTGTATGTGTGTATGTGTTTTAAAATTTGGTGATCTTTGCTTTATTCCATGAAAGTCTTGATGTTTACTAAAAGTGTGTTAATACATAGTGATTCTGGTTTACATTTATGTTAAGTTCATTTAATCAAAAAATTATACATTTTATTTTTCTGACCATCTTGCTTTTAAAACAAGCTTTTCATTTAAAGATAATAAAATTCAGCAATGGCTACAACAGGGCCTTTCACTAACTGTTGAGTTTGCCACCCTCTTCAGCAATCTTGGGAATATTTTATTAAAAATGCCAAAAATATTGCAGCTGAAATTATGTCAAGTTTTATCCATGAAATTTAGTTTCTGATTGGTTAGAAATTAAACATCTTACATTTTAAAATTATGCCCTTTGTGCTGATAATTTTCCTAAACCAATTTTTGGAGAAACAAAGCTAGTTATCATGGAGTTTTTCTAAGGTATTCAATTATCTTAGTCCTTATCAATATTAAATAAACACTAAACCTAAAGGATAATCATTTTTCAGTAGGATATACAACGTAAAGTCTTGCTGAGGATGTCATGACAACAGAAATAATCAGACTTTTTTAATTTAAAGAATTGATCAAACTTAAAGGTCCTAACACTGGTTGGACCTACTATGCTTGTTCTGTCCTAACCGTAGTTACAATACTTTTATACTTTTAAGAAATGTTCCTAAAATCTCTGCCCAAGTTTGGTGATAGCCCCCATGGCTTTGTGTATTTAAGAATAACTTCCCACACTCTGCCGTTATGTTATTTAGAGATTTTAATATTTATACACTACTAATATCTCATTTGATCAAGCCATTTGTTAATCCGTGAAAGGAGAAGTCAGAAATACTGATTGCTATCACTTCAAACACAGGGTCTCTTGGTTGGGGGTCCCTAAGCTGCCCATTGCAGAGTTGTAACAGTACAGGAAACTGTATAAACTTTGTTTACAAGTTTATATTATTTCATTGATTTTTTAAAGATTATCATAATTTTCTGCACTGAGGCTGAACATAGTAAATTAATGTTTATTTATAGAGCAAACATGGAGGAATTTATGTTGTGGTTAACTCTTCTTATTGCATTTTGATTAAGCTTTGAAATAAGTCAAAGAGTATATAATGGAAGAACAAGCCAACTCTTTGTCCAAGTTGAACAAAGTGATTCATTGGATTTTTTTCATATGAACGGCTTTTCATATGAGGAAGTTTACAGGTGTTCTTCAAACATGAATTGTCCTCCTAATTATTGCTTGTGAAGTGTATTTTTGACAAGTGTATTATTTCATTTTTAATTATTTTACATTCATTCACTGAAGATCACCACAGCATACAAAATGTGCTCTCCTATTTTGTCAAATGTATTTCTAAAGGATCTTCAATGGTGTTGAACAGGCATTATCCTGTTGTTTCTTATATTAGAGGATTCTAAATACATTACAACAAGACTCAAGTAATTCAGAAAACATCCTAGATTCTGAGAAGGGTACCTGAAATGGAGATGACAGTACAGAATAAAAGCCCAATAATTCACTTATCCTTTGTGGGGTTTTTTTCTTTTCAGGATGAAAAAGGAACTATAAAGCAAACAGCTCCTTTTACATTAGCACTTAAATAATACCGACACTGGCTTGACTTTTATTATAACTGTCTATAAAGTACCGTGGACTCTAGACCATCCTGGATCTAGCCATACGTGTATGACAAGCGCATAGTGGGACCAGTTTTACATCAGTAAACAGACCTATGGACTCACTTCGTCCTGTCCTGTGTGTTAGTTTTCAGTGTTTACTTAGCATTACCAACATGTGCTCCCCTTTTCTGGAACCTGAAATCTCCTCATTTACTCATTTAGTGAACTGCACAGTTAATTTATTCATTGATATGTGTGTTTTCCTGCCACAGGTGTTGTAAATGCAGCTTTTTAACATTTTAAATTATAAATGTATTTGTCTGCAGAAACTATAACCATTTCTCTCTGAGACTCAATGATTTTCCTGTTAAAAGTCTATAATCTGGGCCCAATTAAGGCTTCCTCCATGGCAGGTGGCAAATGACTTAACCTTAGATTTCACCATTTTAATTTTTGAATTACAGAAAGGACAGTTCATATATGTACATGTTTGGGGAGAGCACAGGATAGAGAAGGCCAAGAGATTAAAGAAGAAGGAATATAATTTGAGGACTGTAAGCACACTTTTTTTAAATAAACTTTTTTTTGTTTAATTAAATTAATTAATTTATTATTTAATTTGACGAGAGAGAACAGAGAGAGAGAAAGGGAAAGTGAGAAAGAAAGCTGCCAGGTCTAGGATTCAAACCAAGGCCAGCCATATGGGAGTCCAGTCTCTTAACATCATCTACACCATCTGCCAGCTCAACGTAATTTTTTTTTTTTTGAGAGAGAGATTTTGTTTATGTTTTTATTTTTGTTATAGGGCACATGCACTCATTGGAGAGACAGAGAGAAAGGAAGTGGAGTGAGAAATCACCCCTCCTTCCCCAATGGGAGATGGCCATGCTGCAATCCCTTCTCCTCCATTCTCTTCCCAAGATTTTGGGAATGCATGTACTCCACCTGTGGTAGATTTCAAGCCACTGGGTCCAGGACCCGAACCACAGTCGGCCATATGGGAGTCCAGTGCCTTAATCACTATGCCATCTGCTGGCCCCACATACTTTTAAAAATGCACACCAGATATAATTATCTTATTTTTTACTCTGTCTCTTGGTAGCAACATAGTGTTTCCACCATAAGGTGTTTTCAAGTGGCTGAACCTTTCATTTGAAGATTTCTTTCTTGCCTTTGTGTGTGTGTGTGTGTGTGTGTATATTGTTTGTTTTAATATATCATGTTTACATTAAATCCGTCAATAAATGAAGGAAATAATAGCATTGTAAATTATGCTATCCCATGCTTCCAGATCTAATTCATTTTAAAAAGATACATTGTATGAGTTGTATTGAACATACATATATGACTAAAATCAGAACACTGATAATCTTTAAGGGAAAAAGAAATCTTAACATGATTCAAGAAAGAGCGAGAAAGTGGCAGCACATTTTAATATGCATATCATTAATTGTCAAAGTTTATATTATGAAATTTCATGAAACATGTTCTTGCCATTTGAGTTTCGAAGTGCTACGTAAAATACGAAGTGAAAGATGGGAAGAATCAATATTATCCTTCAGGCATTTTGTTTCAGCTGTATAATAGCTTTCTTACTAGGTGTGCAAGAGAGCTACTGATATTTTTGCCTTGATCTACAGGAAAATGAACCTTCTATAAAGGGTAAATCTATTAATTAGAGACCTGCACAGCTTTCTTTCTTGCTAGTGTAATCGTTAAATTGATTTTTCCAGTCCATCATGTAATTGCTCCAGCGATGGAACCCTGCTTTCCACTCTCGTTCTGCTTCCTCGATATTTCCTGTAAAACATGAAATAAGTTGTATTAATCTAAATTTTAATCTCTGTTTACAGTAATTGAAAAGTAGTTTTGATTACAGATGCTGTTTTCTCCAAGTACTTTACATAGAAATTTTTAATTTTCTATTTATTATCAGCTTTTTTCTGCCTGAAAAGCTTTTCATAAATGTTTATATGTTATATGAAAATGCAAATAATACATTTGTATAAAATGTACTTAAAGTGTAAAAATACATGCAATACAAAAAATGAGTTTATGTATTATTTGTAATTATATATCTTTTTAAAATTACTGAGCAGGTGCATAAATATTAATCTCTTTACTTGAACTCTACATAATCCAAATCTCATCTAATGCATCTCTATTTAATATAGAGTTATATGATAGGGTATTATTTCTGATGAAAGTGGTTATATATGATTATTATTAATGCCATAAGGATAATTTTATACATCAGATTTTAGTTCTAAATAATGTCTTCTCATTATTATACCCACCTACTATATGAATACAGTTTATTAATTTCTGTGTAAAATAGAAATATGACTAAAACGATCTCTGCTTTAATGTAATTTGCAAAGTATTTGTATGTGTCAGGCAAGAAGAATGTTTATACCAGACACAATGTGAGGCAATGAACCAAGAAAAGTCTAAAAAAATTAATACAAGAATTTTAAAGTCCTGAATTGTTTGAAAATATATTGCATTGAAGAATAACATTTATGAGGAAAAAAACTCTTAAATTAGAAACTTTTAAATCATATATTTTTGTTCCTGGTATAATTAGATATGATAAGCCTAGAAGATAGTTTAAAGTATTTAAATTTATAATCATTTTTGTATATTTTGTTTCTTTTCTAAACTTTCAGTATACAGAGGTAGAGTTATCAAATTGAAAAACAAGATGTAAAGTTATGTCAACTATCCTGAAGCTAGGGACTGACAGCTTTTAAAAACCATATACTTTTCAGTTAGGCATTTTTGAAATTAATTATAACTTTGTGAGGCATTAATTTAGAGAAGGCAATTTAGTGATTTGCTTTAAGTTTATATGAAAATCAAAATATTTAAGACATTTGCATAGCCTCTAAATTATGCCATGGAATTTAGGATATATTTAGGTTTGAAATGATGATGATACTTAGACAAATATTTGAGAATTTACATAAAATGTCCCACTTTTAAAAGGTCAATGACTATAATAATAGATCTTTTCTAAAGGATCAAAAAATGAGATATGGAAGCGATGTTAAATATACTAAATGATCCATTTTTATGCTCTTTTTGATGATAATTAAATGCTGTCTTAAATATTATACAAAATAATGACTCTAAAGTTCAGAAAAAAATTTTATGTAACAAATAAATTATTGGTAACTTAACTTTTAGATCATGAATTCTAATATTTATAGAAAATGTCCTAGAGCAGATTTTCTTTTTTTATTCATGGAATGATACCAAATCCAATGTTTAATATAAATATAAATTTATTTCCCTATGTGTCCTAATTAAATGCCTACCCAATTTAGTATTTCGAAATACTTTTCAGTGCACAAATACTCTGTAAACCTGAGTACTTTTTTCCTTTCAAAGTACTAGGCATTGTTTGAGACAACAAATATAACAGAATCCAGAGGAAGTGGACACAGCATAGTAAAATAATAAATTTTCTGCATCCCATGAAATGAATAAGAACCAAAATTTGAAGTTTCTTCCTCCTTCTTTGTCTTCCTTTTATTTTTTTTCTCTCTCCATATTGTCTTCTTTATTGCTAATAAAATCTAGTCACAAGTCAGTGTTTTAATCATTATAAACATCAGCAATATTAATAATAAAACCATGAAACATGGCACATCACAAACAGAAAAGGTGAGGCTGGGCACATCATAAAGATTAATCTTTTTTTTTTTTTTTGAGAGGTTTTTCACTATAGGGCGCGTGCGCTCGCCAGACAGAGAGAGACAGAGAGACAGAAAGTGAGAAATCATCCCCCAGGGGGGATGGTCACGCCACAGTCCCTTCTCTATTCTCCTCTTGGGATCTTGGGCACGCATGCACAGGTGCCTGGCGTGGGTTTTAAGCCACCGGGTCCGGGACGCGAACCATGGTCGACTACGTGGGAGTCCAGCGACATAGCCATTACGCTAACTGCTGGTTCCCATAAAGATTAATCTTGAATAGCAAATTTCAATTTATTTAAACCATTGTAGTCAATGTATTTATTCTATACTTGAGTCATTAATGAATAATCATATCTCAGAAGAGAATCATCCTACTCAAATAATGTGAATTGCTTAGATTCTGATCTTAACCATCCCGCAGGATTTGAACTAACTGTACTAATGTTAAGGGTATTGTCATGTATTTTGTATACACTAATAGTTCTCCTTTTAAATGTATCTCTGCATGTAGAGTAGTGTCTGAAAGTCCACAATTTTTCTAATAATGGCAATATTAATTCCCATTCCTTGAGTATACATATTACTTGTAGGAGGGGAAAAAGAATAAAATTCTGAATCATTGACAGAAAAAAGGAGATATATTATTTACCACCAAGACAGATGATTTACCTTGACTAAAGAAAACTTGTCGCAGTTATCAAAAAGTATTCTTATATTAACCAACCTCCAAACTCATTAAATTTCACTTTATAAAATAAAATGCTATATAATCTGTTTTTATAAAATAAATTGTATGTAAAAATTTCAAATGATCAAATGGTCAAATAAGAGATAAATTTTCTCTAATTCTTAATATAGTGTGTGAATATTTATAATGTGTGCAAAGGATTATATAGAATTAAAAAAAAAAAGAAAATACCTCCAAAACAAATCTCTATGCCAGAGGATGACACACTTGAAAGTACTGATATTTTTTAAAGAAAAGGTGAAACACATACATACTCTATGTATGCAAACTCGTATTTTCAAATTTGCATTCAGAGGCAAATTTACTTTTAAGTACTTTCTTAATGAAACAAGGAAAGGCATTTTTAATATGTTTTTAAAAGAATAAATGATATAAATAAAATGTGAAGTATAAATAAATACTGTAAATATGGAGAAGCTCGCGTATTCCTCATACAAAGGAACCAGCAAGCAAAAGCAGCTATTTGGATGAATGGAGGGGAAATGATTATACGGATGCTATGTAATACTCTTAAAAACTCTAAAGAGACTGGATAGAAAAATGCTTCTATTCAGTAAAAATGAATGCACTTTTGGATCAATAGTCAGAACAAGTTAGTCTTTTTTATTTAAAATTACTAGATGGCTTTAAGAGCTTAAACATCATTTAACGTCCTTAGCAGGATGCACAAGAGAGAGGCTTCCTCTCTGGTCCCTGCCAGCCTGGCTTCTCTCCACTTTGCCTTCATATTAGATTCAGTATAGATTTTTTCTTTGCTTAAAAGTCTTTCATGGTCCTGGATGTTGACTCTATCACCTCACTGTAAGTGAAGAGACCCCATCATTTTCATTTTTGTAACTTTAGCTGCTGGTACAGTTCCTAGGACAGAGTAGTGGATTATTTAATTTTTAATGCCAGTGTGTGTGTGTGTGGAAAAGAGTCAGAAAGCACTCCTCAGGGGACCTGCAAGCCTTTTAACTCCAATTTTCCATCCACCAGGGCCTGGGTATGTACGCTCACACTGTGTGTTTAAGTAGCCAGGGTGGGACGTGAACCCTTTTCAGTCATGTAGGATCCAGCTTTCTCTGCACAGAGCTTAGGGCTATGCCACAGGGTCTGCTTTCCGTGTACTTTTAAAATGAAACAAATAGTTCATTTGATTTGATTTTCAAATTACCCAAAGTTTTCTGTTCTTCTTTGTTTTTGTTTGTTTGTTTTTGAGGAGTAGATAATTCAGGTGGAGACTATATAACCAATTTGCTTTTTTCTTTCAAAAGATGACAGATTGTAATTTTTTTCATTTTTCCCTGCCAGTCTTACTAACTGACTAGATGTAAATAACTCTTCAAAATGACCAATCCAAAGAGTGTCTAAAATTAACATGTGGTTGTCTTTAATTTTGGCAAGCAGCAAAGTTCCATGGTATATTCAAAGGCCACTAGAGGAAACTTAGGCCAAATATCTTTCTTTATTGGGCCTCTAAGAAGGCCAACATATTTTTGTTTGTCTTTAAATAAATTCACTCTTCCATTTTTGGTGGAAAAATACTGATGTCATTGACCACGCATGGGTCCTTTGTCTGCTTCTCTTTCTTTTTCAAATAATTATGAGACATTTTGTGGATTTTCTCTTAGTGAAAATGTGCATTTGATAACATTTGAAACAAATACAGTACATTTTATTTCCTGCAGGTGCATGCAGTGGCAGCATAGGCATGAGCTGAGTATACTCTGAAAGTTAAGTGCTGGAATTCATGTGTTTAAACAAGTCTTAAGTATCATTTTATTTGAGAACATTTATTGCTCAAATGTAAACTACTGCTGAAGTGGTACTTGTAAAGCTTGTTGGGCTTCCACCTTGAGTGAGGTAAACATTCCTCCTTCTATGAAAGCCAGCCAGTAGTTATTCTTAGAAATTTGCTTTACTTGTGAAGTTGCCTTATAAAGAAAATATCCATAACTACTTTGGTTCAGGTCCTTTAAATACCCTACATTTTTAACACATTAAAGACTCAAGTATTTGAAGTTTTGTAACTTGAAAAATACAAGCTATGGCAAGAACACGTGTTTTTTATTTATTTTTTCTTTTCTTTTCTTCCTTTTTTTTTCTCGAGAGGTTTTTGCTATAGGGTGAGTGTGCTCGCCAGAAAGATGGAGAGAGACAGAGAGACAGAAAGCGAGAAATCACCCCCAAAGGGAGATGGCCATGCCGCAATCCCTTCTCCTCCCTTCTCCTCTCAGGATCTTGGACACGCACGCACATGCACCCAGCATGAGTTTAAGCCACTGGGTCTGGGACTCGAACCACAGTCGACTACGTGGGACTCCAGGGACATAGCCATTATGCCAACTGCTGGTCCCAAGGACATGTGTTTTTTATACCCACCTATAGTTTATTTTATAAGACCTAAAAAACTGCAAGGTGTTTCAAAATTTCTGTACTAAGGAATACGTTGTTGGTGTTACCGCAAACACACCATCTACTTCCTTTAAACTTTGTAGTACACAGTTAATATGAAAATCCTTTTTCGGAGGACTTATTTGGGAAAAAACAAATAGTGCTAAAATACAAAATTATGGAGCCAGCTGGTGGTGCAGAGGTCCAGGTGGCTGGATCCCACGTGGCTGAGTGAGCGAGTGGGGTCCTGGACCTGACAGCTTGAAAATCATGTGGAACGCATGTACAGGAGTGTACATCCAGAGAGGAGAATGGAGGAGAGATGGCACCCCTTCTGAGGAGAAGGATGATCTCTCTCTTTCTTTCTCGTGAGTGCACACACCTAATAGTGAACTGGAAAAAAATAAAAAAACTGGAAAAAAAATAAAACTAAAAAATTATATTTTTTAAGGTGCATTGGAACTAACCATACGTGTGATACTAACCTGAGCCAGGGGATGGGGTTTCCATAGAACTCAGTGTTCCTCCAGCTAAAATGTTGTTCAGAATTATGAAGAAGGGAGCAATAATAGCCAAGAACATTGAAGCTTGCTTATTTACTCTGCTTTATGGCAAGTAAGTATTTCAATATAAAGATTTTGTTGAGTGACATCTTCAAAAATTCTGGTATTCTTATTTGATTTTATCAACAAATAAATTACAGGAGATCACATGTGTTGAACCAGAAAGACTCAGTTTGCTAATAAGAAGTCATTTAAAACCATTCTGCTCCCTCCCTCTCATGTCTCTGAAATGATGACCCCATCATTTTAAAATATTTTAAAGGCAGTTTAAGAGTCTGTCATCCATGCTATGTGAAATGGTATTTCGTTGGGTTTCCTGGCAGATGTAATGTGTTACCTCATTGTTATTCAAGCCCAGAGGACACAAGGGCAGCACTGTTGTCCTGCCAAGGGAGGCAGAAGCCCATCTCCGATACAGATTATGTCACGGAGCATTTGGTAATATACAAGGCACTGGTACATCACAACATCTCCCAAACAGATGGAGAACATAATTATGATTTCTGTGAGTAATGTCTGATAATCAAAAGACATATTAAACAATCACATACATCTCTTGACTTGCCAATGTTTGCCTGAAACTAACCCTTAACTTCTCAAAACAAGAAACTTAAAACATCTACTGGCTTGTGATAAATAATAGTCCCATGGTGAGCAGAATGGTAAACTCTAAAGGCATTGGGCAGCAATATGTCTCATGGTTGAAAGTAAATTACTTTTATTTGAAAACTAAATGTAGAAAATAGTCTAGAGGAACCATATGGGTTATAAAAAACTGAGCATTTTTAAATGGGCAGTGAGTTGAATATGTACATCATTTTTCTCAGAGATTAAAGTAAGATGATAAACATCCTTCCTGATAAAAATATTTTAATGAATTTTGAAAAAATATGATAATTTGAAATAATTTTTATTTATTTTCTTAATGAACTTTTTAAAAGTCACTTTCTGATGACTAGTTAACTAAATTGCTATTATGTGATGTTATATTATTATATACGTATTTAATACATATCATTATAAATGTATTTCCAAACTCAGAATATTTAGAAATATTTGAATTGCCTTTGAATATACAATTTTTTTGGAGTTTCCCTATTTAGAAATAGAAAGGCTTAGGATCAGTGGATGGCATAATGGTTATGTTGCTGGACTCCCATGTGGTTGACCATGGTTTGAGTCCTGTACCCAGTGGCTTCAAACTCATGCCAGGCACACATGCGTGCATGACCAAAATCCAGAGAGGAGAATGGAGGAAAAGAGATTATGGCATGGCCATCCCCCCTGTGCAGGAGGAGTGACTTCTCACTTCCTGTCTCGCTTTGTCTCTTTGGCAAGCACACATGCCCTATAGCAAAAATCTCTCTTAAAAAAAAAGTAATAGAGAGTATTCTATTAGTTTTTACCTGCTCTTTATATTTTGTATTTCAAGTTTCTTTTTTTTTTTGGAGAGGTTAGCAGTTAGCTGGTTCCCTGTATTTTGAGTTTCTATGAATTATATTTATTTTATATATTTATTTATTCACTTATCTATTACTTAACTTTACAAAAATTGGCTGAATAGGGAACCAGCAGTTAGCTTAATGGCTATGTCGCTGGACTCCTACATAGTCGACCGCGTTTCACGTCCTGGACCTGGTGGCTTAAAACTCACACCAGGCACATGTGTGTGTGTGTGTGTGTGTGTGTGTGTGTGTGCCCAAGA